GGAGAGTTGTTCCTTAACAACACTACAAATTATAATTTCCCCACTTTCTTATTTTCTTACTGCCTCCGCCTCCTCTCTGTCCCCTTCAATTCTCATTTCTTTCCTTTTCTTTCTTTGCAATTTGTACCCTATAATTAATTAATCCTCATATGTTTGTAGAAAAAGTAATATACTACAATATTTCCACGAAATTAATATAAGTAATATACAGTGTAGCATTTTATTGGAAACGTAGATACATATTCAAGTACTTTTTTCATATTGTTCTTTATTTATGCGCTAATTTTGAGAACCCAACTTTACTGCGTCGTGGTTGCTTGTCAGTCAAAACTTGAGCTTGCTTTTTAAGATGCGTGATTGCATTTGCATGTCTCGTGGCTTTTTTTTTGTAGCCCCTCTTGTTGGACTAATCATAGCCTTTTGTTTTCCCCTTTGCTTTAAAATTACTGAAATTATCAAATTGTTCTCATTTGTTGATTGGATATATGTTTACATGTAGCCAATATATAATAAGTTGTAAAACATTACTCAATCACGTTTCTCTATCAAATAATTCAAATAGTGTTACTAGTTTGATCATAAGTTACAAATATATATGAATATATCAAAGAAATTCACTAGTATATGTCTTAAAATGTGTATACCTTTTTTTTTGTTACTTCTAAATTTTTTGGAAAGATTAAATTTTGATTTATAATTTGTTTTCTTTGTGTTGTTTATCTTATAATCTAAAGACTTTAATTTAGAAATATGTAGTTTGAAAGAAAAGAGTAGTCCACAAGGGCTATCAAGTGGAGAGGTCTTCTTTGTTTATGCCGAAGCTTAATACGTTTAATAAAATAGTATAAATGAAACTTTACAAAGTATAGAAAGATACGTGCATGCGTGCGTGCTGGTATTGAGTCGAGATGTTACGTGCGTGTCTTTTTATATATAGATACTATATAATATTCATCAAAATCCTTAAAATGTTTAGATTGCGCACGCAATTCATGAATTGTATATAGATTTACCAAATTTTTGAAATGATTTTTAGTTTCTTACAAAGCAAAAACAGTGGGTAGTGTGATATTTTGTCCCTCTGAATTCTATATGACGTAATCTCGTTTCCCACATTATGACACTTAATTTGATCTTTTTTTCATCTACTATTTAACCAAATTTATCCTTATGATAATTAATTGTATTTGAGAATAGTTTTACTGATAATGGCTGAAAGAAACAAAATACTGGATTATATATAGAGAGTTTTATTGTTGGACTAATTGCTTAAAATAATTCGAAGATGTTTTATATAATGTTTACCGAAAATAAAACATTATATAAGATGTATTTATATGAATCAAAACATTTTTTACTATAAGTTTCTAACCTT